CAGTCATATGTCATTCTTTCAACATTTAAGTGTCCTAAAAATAGCAAAATTGAGTGATCATATGTTCATTGGATTTTTTTCATTGTGTCACTCAATTTGACTATAAACATGTCAAATTTAAAAATTATTTAATTCTCCAATTAATGCTTCGAAGTTTTTTTTTATTACACTTTAAGTGCTTGATTTGGACTTATTTAAACTTGAATTTAATCACTTTTAGTATTATTGAGCTTGTATTGTTGAGATGCTAAGTATATACAACTATAACTTTGTTGAAATTATAGCTCGGATGATTTTAAATTTTAATATGAATAAATTTATACTCAAAATGCATTGAAATTTGTGCCTAATAATATAAATTTCTTGGTGACATATCAATGTTTGAGGACCCTAATCAAACTTGTCCCAATATTAAGAAGATGATAGTGTCTCATTATATTTGTATTGACGTTGCAATGCAATTTCTGGAAGTAGTGCTATCACATATTAATTAATTGTTTGATATTATTTTTGAGTTGTGAATTTTCTTGAGTATTGCCAGAGTAAATATTAATCTCAGTAAGGATATCAGTCATTAAAACAATGTTTTTACAACCAAGTTTTGTTTTAGCTCATTCTTTTCTATATTATTTTTTTCTTGAGGGAACGTTGGTTGAGAGTCAATTTTATCATGTTAAATGAAATTTAATAAATTATGTAAATTTAATACAATTAGATGCTCTCAAGAATGATGTTGTTTTCCTTTAATTTAACATTTATTTATCAAGCTATGAAGGCTATGAACAAACTCATTGATGTTCAATAGGATCATATTTTGAATAGTCCTCCACTTTGAAGGGAATAAAAATTCATAAAATTTCTTGTGAATGCAACTTAGAGTATATGATATGTACTTATCATAGAGGTGAACATCACCAAAAATATTTTTTTTCTGTTATCTCATAAAATGATATTAGCATGATTGTAACTATTTTAGATAAAGTAGATGATGCATCATTTGAAAGAGACTATATAAAATAGTATCTGTTAAGTTTGTATTGTAAAACAATTATAAGGACCCGTTCAAAAATTCTCAAAACAAATTTTTAAAAATTGATAATTTTATATGTTCTCATATTTTGGTACCTAGACAACAGTGAGATAAAAAAAATCAACAATCAATACAAGAAGAGACTAGATGGGAAAGCTCAAAAAATTCCAATAGATAACACTCTTGAGGCAATCAACATGCTCTCTATTTGGTTTTTGGGTCCTTAGCTATAATGTCAGACCATTCAAATTATTCAACCAAGAATAATCTATAAACATTTTTTTCTTAATTTGTTTCTTGATATGCTTCATCTTTTCCCAATAATTATGATTCTCACTAGAAAAAAAATAATACATAACTTAAAAATAAACTTATTTTGATTTCATCGTTGAGTTTATTTGATGGAGCCATGAATCAAGGATATTGGTTTATATAAGAAAAAATGATTTTTGAAGCTATATTTATAAAATTTAGTTAATGTTTTTCTGATTTGTTGGCCAATAATGAGATTTGGTGAATGGAGTTGTTATTGTAGGTATGTTAGATAGAAATGAATTTCAATATTGTTTTAAGCATACATTTTATCTCTTCCTTTGGTACAATGCTAGTAGATCTTCATTTTCTTGTAGCTCAAGTTTAAGTATTCCAACGAGGTGGGCTCTTTGGATACCAAAGTTATAAGAATATAGCAAAGTCTAATGAAAATATCACTAATGTGCTTTTGGACTTCACGGATGTAGCGTACTTCCATTAGTTTCTTCACCTCTTGCTGGATAGGCTCAGATAAAGTGGTGGTTGAATCCCCTAGCTTTTGCTTTATTGGTCGTACAGTGGGATCAATGTTTAGAAGATGGCATGCAATGTCTATGGGGCATTTCGACGGTGGACCGGGCGAAGACGTCCCAGTTTTCCTTGAGCGTTTGGATGAGAGTTGCCTTCGACCTGAAATCAAAACTTCACTGATTAGAAAGAATTCACCCATTTCTTCATTGGCAGTAGGGACTTGGATGGTATTTTCACAGGTGTCGAGACTGCCCTCCCTATGACTTGGAAGGTCAAGCGCCCCTTGCTCGACAGTGGTCACCACTCTAAGGTAAGACATTCTTAACTATTCCAGTTCTCCTCAGATGGTGACGAATTCTCCCTCTCCCAAAAAATTCAATGCAAAGTGGTAGGTTAAGGTCATCGCCCGAAAGTTGTTTGACAGTGGACGGTTGAAGATGACGTTATAAGTAGGCGAGGAATCGACTACTAGGAAGTCTTCAGACCTTGTAAATTGTCAATATTTATCTCTCTATATGACTAAAAGTGTGATTACCCCAAGGGCCTCCTTCTTTATCCTGAGAATCGGCGCCACCATCTGCTATATCTCTAGTTGGAGTTTATCAAATGCGACTTTACATAGGATGTTCATCGAGCTCCCTGTGTTGATGAGTATACTCCCCACCTGTTATTTATTGAGTAAAGCCTTAATAAAAATAACATAATTGTAAGGATTATCTCTTGCTTGCAGGTCTTTATCGGTGAACATGATAGGGGGTGCACTGTTCTTCGCGGGATAGGGGCAATGACACATAGGTCCTCCGATCAGACCCTTTTTAAATTCAATCAACGGGATGATTCACCTTACCCTCCTAGTATTTCCGGTAATATTCCTGCAATTCGGATGGTGTTGGCACAAGCTGGCTCTTTGTTTGCTCCGCCAGACAAGGCTTTTCCTTGTCTGTGTGTGACGACCTCGATAACCACAAACTCTTTCAGCTTTTCGGCCTTGTTAATTCCTCAACGAGGCCTTTAAGGTGTCAACATTCCTATATTTTGTAGCAGTGGTCACGATGATAGACACAAAATTTGTTAGTGTTTCAGGTGGAGCCTTCTGTTCTCATCGTCGTAGGCTTCTTGAAGTAATTTTTATCCTAGATGGCCTATACTAGCTCAACTAACAAGATTCTTACAGGGGTCAACTTGAGGGGCTCCTGCTGGGCCATTGGTTTTTCGTTATGTTGAATCATGCGCTGGTCAGGATAACGATGTCGTTTGTCGTAGTGATCATCAATTAGACGTCCTTTGCTGTGAGGCTCACCTTTGTAGCACGGACGAATAAGAGGTCAGAGGCTACTTTTACCTGCAAATCGCCATCTACCGACCCCCTTATCTGTGGTTAGGCATCTACAGTGATTTTCTTGGCCTCCTCTCAGTCATGGATCACTAATTCCTCAACAGCGATATGGTTGTTGGCCATGTTTCAAAATTTGGCCATCAAATTTGGCTCGCATAGTCCCATGGCATATTTAAATTGTTTGCTTTTAACATGTTTTATCAGGGAGGTTTGAGCAATTACAGGTTCAAGGTTTTGAATTTCTAGCATCTCCCACTAGAATCTTGCTATATACGAACGGAGGGTTTCTTCTTCCTTTTGCCTAACTTGGAGGAGAGATCGTGACTTCTTCCGTGGCTTTTGTGTGCTAACAAAATGGGACGTGAAAAATCCTTTGAATTCACTAAAGAAGGGGATTATTTCTGTCGAGAGAGCATTGAATCAACAAAGCACCAACTTCGTCGACGTGGTGTGGAATATACGACATTTGAACGCGTTGGTGATCTTGAGAATGCCAATGGCTGACTCAAAAGTGGCTACGTGGTCGGTTGGGTTTGTAAGACCTTTGTAGGTGTCGAGGTTGGGGTCTTAAATTTTTCAGGTGATTTAGCTTGAAATATTTGTCTAGAAAAAAGCATTCTTTGTGTGGCAGACAACAATTTGTATGGTGCGATGCTTTTCCATTATGATTGATCCATCACTATCTTGGTAGTGAGAGTTGTTTCCACCATCTTCCTCTGGCTGAGATTGTCGGTTGTTAGGCCTCGACCCATCTCATTTACCGTTTGGTTCAACATGGTTATCTTTGTGGGGATTTTGGTTTTGTTGGTTCTAGTCTCCTTTAGCCAGGGCTTTTTAGAGGGCACTCATCAGATGTTCTCTCATTTTTAGTATTAACTGTTCCTTCAACTCCATTACTTGTTGCCGGACTATCTTCCTCGTGCTATCCACTCTACAAATTGATTTTGTGTTTCTTGAGTGACTGCCTTGCAGTTGCGCTGTGCTCCTCGTCATGTTGGAGGCATGGGTCCCATGCTCATCATACCTTTTAAAGTGTTGAACCCAAAAAAATATGGAATCCCGTCCAAGGAATAGAGTACAGATGGGATGATAAGGATTGAACAATAAAATGAGCTTTATTGTTTGCCTCTTTATCGTAATGTGTCTCCTATTTATAGGTATATAAGGTCTGTTAAGTACACAATTACCTTAATGCTCTCTCTATATAAGAGATCTTAGGGGTACAAGAGTCATTTGCCCAATACAACAATAAAGTAATATCAATGAAGTCGACTCTGGCTTGAGTATCAATTTGTTGAATAACTTGATCTGTTGACTGGTCATGACCCATTTTGGCTGGGGACCCACCTTATTTGTCATGCTGCATACCCTTGCTTTGAGATTCTGTCACCCCAAACCGGTCATACAAATGAATCATTGGCTGTTTGGACCTCATTAACTCTTAAGAGGAGGGATGCATAATAGGTATACGAAAAAATATTACATACAGATGAGATATATGTGAAATTGATGATATTGTGAAATTGATGATATTATGGCGATATAAGAATGAAATTGGAATTATAACGAATAGTCTGTTTGGGGCAGCTGTAGTTTATTGAATAATCTGCTGATAAGCTGATTAAAAATAATCCGCGGTGGCAATTATAAATTTTCATTTTTTGGAAAAGTCAGATCATTGTCAATAAACTCCCACCGCACCTAGATAGTTGCGGTGTGAAAATGCTATTTTCTACATTTTGAAAATACATAAATTGCCAAAAACAAAATTTACACAAACAGTTAGGTGCATTTTTAAAATACCACCGCACCAAATAACTGCGCCCAAAGTCCTATATCACCTCAATAAAATCCAATTCGGCGGCGTACCACATACGCTCGTTAGATTGACAAACGGCCAGGGCCTCCGAGGCGGTTTCGGTTCGGTCCAAATTGCGATGGCTACGGCTCTGCCGTCTGCCTACATCTCTCCATCTCCCTCGCCGCCGGTTGCTGACAGAGGTGGTGTCATTCTTATTCCCCTCCGTCGTCGTCTTGAACTCACGCGGTCCTCGCCCGCTTTCTCTTCGATCTCTACCCTCCATTTCTCCCCACTTTTTCGATCTAGGTCTCGAAGGACGGACGCAGCGTCTGCCGCTTGGAGTAGCTTGGAGGAAGTGCAGCTCCTTGGGGATCAGTTCGATGACGATGCGCCCTCGTCGATCGAGCTTCTGCCAATCAACAGTGAGGAGCAGTTCGATCGGATCATTGGAGAGGCCCAGCGGCTTGATGAATCATTGATCATCCTCTGGTTTTCTTGATAACTCTTGTTGTTCGTTTTTCGGTTCAAATTCTTTAGAATAATAAAATTGACATTTGTATGAACAGCCTAGGACTGAGTAATTCAAAACAAATGAAAAAAGTGATGATTTCTGATTCGAATTATACTTTTTCATACTTAAACAATATTTATTTCTAATTGCATGCACCGAATGATAGAATCTGGTAAACTTATCGTTTTTCAAAACTAGCCCGACGAACGCTTCTAATGTGGTTCTTTGTAAAGTATGATAGTAGTTTTCAAAGTTTTACAGAAAAATAAAGATTACGTTGTGAATGAGAGCAATTATCTTAGCAATGGTGTTAAAAGTTTCAGAATTTATCATTTCTTTGCCTCGATTCACTGAAATCCTGATAGAGCTTATTATAAAAGCTGTATTAATGCTAGAATTTTCTTATGAAATCTTGGCACACAAATCAGGTATACCTTTGGTAAAAATGCCGTTATTTTACGAAAAGCTCTACTATTAATACATAAATCCAAAATCCTTACCATGTTAATATCATGACTAACTTATCTCTAGTCACCCGTGTGGCTTTATCGCTCCTCCTTGGCACTAAATCAACATATCCCTCACAACAAATGGGCTTGTAAGTACAAAACACTCTAAAGAGAAGAGTATGAAGAAATATTGGAGAAATGAACACTTTACTAAGAAAGAAAGATTGCAACACTTGAATGTTTGGAAACATGGAAGATTTTCTTGGATGTTTCCTTTCTTGGATGGTTACAAATGAGGGGTGGGGCTCCTATTTATAGTCCTCTCCAAGACTAAGAGAACATTATAGATTACATTAGAATATACTAATTTCTAGATAGTTCTACATTATTCTTTATATTTACATTATTCTAGAACTTCTCAGAATATTTTAGAATCCTCTTGAAGCTTGCTACTTTCAGCATATTTCTAGAATTATGTGGAATCTTCTAGAATTCTTTGAAATATTTTCCTTCTTTCTAGTTTTTTCTAGAATACCGTGGAATCTTCTAGAGTCCCCTAGATTGCTCTCTGCATTCTGAGCTTCTCTAGAATCTTTCTTTCCTATGTTTAGCTAGCTACTTATTCTTGAAGATGGCGGAGCGTGACAATCTCCCCCGCTTAAGCTCGCAATGCCCTCATTGCGACTTCCCCTTGGCATTCGAGCCAACTTGCTTTGTTTGCTCTTGGAAAACTTAGGTTTTTCCTTAGTGATATGGGGGAGGGGTTCCATGCAGTGAGACTTCATGATTGGCAGCTTAGTCCTTGGCTTCAGCCTAATCGGATGATTTTTCTCCCTCATTGGCGGTAGTTATTTAAGAACCTCCACCACTTCCATTGACACCTTCTTGGGCCTTCACTTCTTCATTGGAGTCGTGAAGAACAACAAAGTAACTCCTCTTTTCTTTTGGAATGACCTCTTTGATTTGGATGGTTGATAACAATTTGATTTTCTGCTTGTTAGCCCTTATTATCGGTACCAAGCAAGCTTGATTCTCTTCCATGATGCACTTGCTATTGGCGTAGGGTATTGGGAATGCTCTTGCTTGATCCAAGAAGTTCATCCCTAGAACAACTTTAAAATCATCTATCAGAATGACAAAGAAGTATAAGATACTTGATCACGCTCCAATATTGGTCTTTACTCCCCTGACTATTACATGGATTGACCTTACTTTTGAATTGACCACCTTGATGGAGAGTCCTCCTTCAGTCATTCGAAAACCTAATCTCTTTGCTTCATCGGCGGAGATGAAGTTATGGGAAGCACCCGTGTCCACTATTACTCTATTAGTCTTCCCACCTATTACCATCTCCACAAAGAGTAACCCCTTTGCTTGGGGCTTTGCTGGAGCTTGCATTCCATTCAGCAGTTTTTAGACCCCACTTATGCTGCCATATCTTCACCTTCTTTCTTTTGATGGCTTGCAGGGAGAAAGTTCAGAGCCTTCTTTTGAGGGTAGTCCCTTGCCCAATGAAGTCCTCCACAAAGAAAACAGTTGTGTGGTTTCATTTTGTTATTAGACTTCTCATTTTCTTTTGCCTTGGATGGGGTCGATTCGCGACGACTCTCCTCCTTATATTAATCTTTGTCTTCCCCCTCTTTGATGTATGTACTCTTCTTATCCTTTGGCTTTGTGGACTCTCTTGAGTAATCAACTAGGCTTTTGGTGACCGCAATGACAGTGGCAAGATCTTGCACTCCGCGCCTCCTAAGCTCAGTCTTTGCCCACTGTTGGAGTCCATCCATGAAGTTGAAAAGAACATCCTTGTCAGATATGTCAGGAGTTCAATAACCAAGCTTGTGAACTCCCTATTATATTCACGAATCGATCTTCTTGTTTGAGCCTTCACAATCAGCTTTAGCCTCATCCCCCACATTCTCGAGATAGAATTGTCTTTTTAGCTCTCTCTTGAAATCATTAAATGTGGATATGGTGCACATACTTTTCTCAATATCTCCCCGCCTTCTTCTCCATCACAACATAGTGATGTCTGAGAGATAAAGAGTTGCAAATTGTATTTTTGTCTCTTTACCCGTGATTCTTATCGCCCCGAAATATTGTTGAAGTCCTCATAAGAAGTTATCCATTTTCTTCATGTTGCGAGCTTCTCCAAAACTCTTTGGTTTTGGAATTTCAATCCTCTTAGCTTCAAAAGTATGGTGGTTGGTGGGTGTTGCTAGCGCTTTCTTGCATAGCGAGATGTCTCAATGCATTCCTCCAAGTTAGCATGCACGCCACTCACCTCTTCCTCATAGGCTCTTTGTACCTCCTGGAGCTCCCCCATCAAAGCCTCTCGCATATTAGACATTTGGTCCCTTAAAGACTCCTCCAGTTAAAGCATCGTATCTTTGATCGTCGAATGGATTGTGATGTCCTCCTCCTCGAGTCCATCAACCTTTTGGCCAAGATCTTCTATCTGAGCTTCCATTTCATTCATTGACTCCTCCACCCGAGCAAGATGCGAATCAAAGTCGTGCATGATCTCCTTGGACCTCCATGTGGTTTGGATGCAACTAGATCTCGTTGCTCTTGACGGCCTCGCTCTTGTTGAGATGATTCCACATTAGTGGCTTCAGACTCTATTACGTGCTCTTTTATGCTCTTTGTCAAACATTCAAAACTAGGCTCTGATATCAACTATCACGGACTAACTTATCTTTAGTCACCCGTGCGGCTTTAGCGTTCTTTCTTCCCACTAAATTAGTCCATCCCTCACAACATTTGGGCTTGTAAGCACAAAACACTTTAAGGAGAAGTGTGGGGAGAAGTATTGGAGAAAGGAACATTTCATTAATAAAGAAAAATTACAACACTTGAATGCTTGGAAGCTTGGAAGCTTGGAAGGTTTTCTTCGATGCTTCCTTTCTTGGATGGTTACAAATGAGGGGAGGGACTCCTATTTATAGTCCTCTCCAAGACTAAGGGAACATTCTAGGTTACATTAGAATTCACTAATTTCTAGATAGTTCTACATTATTCTTTACATATACATGATTCTAGAACTTTTCAGAATATTCTAAAATTCTCTTGAAGCTTGCTACTTTCAACATATTTATGGAATTATGTGGAACCTTTTAGAATTCTTTAGAATATTCTCCTTCTTTCTAGTTTTTTGCTAGAATGCCGTGGAATCTTCTACAGTCCCTTGAATTGCTCTCTACACTCCAGGCTTCTCTAGAAATTTTCTTTCACATGTTTAGCTTGCCAAATATTCTTGAAGATGGTGAAGCGTGACGTTAAGTTTTTAAGAAAATTTGACGAACATGTCATCATTAGTTGGTCTTATAACTACTTTAGATCAATAATTATTCTTATTCATAAAATTTTAAAATTGTTTTTTCACTTTCAGAAAATGTCAAATTATGAGCAGTTTTATAGAAATCTCCCATAAAGATCGGTGGTGCATATCATTTGGCTATTTTGCAGTTTAATAATTCATGATTATCTGACCTAAGTTACCGGTTTAAGAACTTGATGCAAGTTAATGAGTTAAGTTATCTGAATCTGTTTCATAGTTCTTTATACATTTTGGTGTTTAAGTCTAATTTTTGATATAGGATGGCGAATTGGTGCAGAAAATGCATTTATTTGAAGCCGAAGTTGGAGAAACTTGCCGCTGATTACTATCCGAGGTCAGAGAACAACTTTTTTTTTCTTGGCATTTATTTCATGTTGGCATGTGTGACTTCTAGGTCTTTTTCATAACATGAGGCTCTCCACTGCTTTCCGTTTCAAAAAATGTCCTTTCTTCATTTGATGAGTTGGTTGGTTATTAAAAATCTCCATTATTTTGCCAATTTGAGCCATAACTTCCATCAAACTTTAAACGGAGGCTTTTGTAAGAAATAGTTTTTAATTGACTTCTTTTAAAAGGAGAACCCTAACCAAACAAAGCTTTTGGTTAGGTAAGCTTGTATTAGATAGTGTCCTACTCTTGAAAGTAGGGAAACGTTTAAAATATCACTTTGTTGAATTCAAATTTGTACGCGAATGACACTAAAACTTAACTAACAAGAAATACAGTACATTAAGCTTAGTAGTAAAGAGGTGGAGAGAGAATCTAGAGTAAGTTTTGTAGTTTTTGTAGATTGGGAAAAGGACAACACTTTCAGTATAAATGATTTGATATGTCAACCTTTGTATGACCCCTTATTTATATGTTGGTTCTAGGCTCCAAGACATTAAAGGTTACATTTTGGCAACTAGGTCTAGGCCGTTCTTAGGCTAAGTATAAATATTGGCAGGCAAGTCCGTTACGACTTTGGCAAATACTTCATTGGGCTGGCAAGTTTATCATGATCTAGTTGAGTTTACTTCGGTTCTAGTGAGTTCTTCACGACCTTGGCAAGTCTACCATTGTTTCAGCGAGCTCATTGTATCCTCAATTCAAATATTGAGCCAATTGAGTCTATTTGATAATTTATGAAAAGAGGAATGCTTTTTACACAGTCAATATATGATCTACACATCTGCTCAAATGACTTTATAATGAAAATATGCTTGTTTTATGGGTTAGTGGCCAGCATCTCATCTTTCATTATACTGAGTCGAGATCATGTCGAAGTATTTTACTTTATTATATGAAATAATATTTCAATATCATCAAAATTAGAATTTGTTAATGTTTGTAATACTTCATTAAATCTTTACTACTTTAATATTCCACTCCAATATCATAAATTTTTAAGCTCTGTAAAACTATATTGTGATGCAGAATCCATTTCTACAGTGTTGATGTGAACAGTGTACCTCAGAGGCTTGTTAATCGTGCTGGAATCATAGTGAGTTTGAATCCTTTATTCTGATATATTAAAGCTGTGTGTTTTACAATGATAGCAACACCATTCGCAGTTTCTCTGGTTGAATCTTGAGGGTTTGTGGTGAATTATTCCTATTTTTTTTGTGCTGCATTATTTTGCCTGAACTCGGGACCCTAATATCACACTTTACATTTATGAAAACTTCGGCTGAGATGGCTTCACTTGATTCAATTTTATTGAAATTCAAATAAACCTGGGAAGCGACTAACTTCAAGTTTTGTGTTTTTACCAACAGTAGGTTAGAAATCAATACTACTTGGTTGTTGTGACACCAGCATAACCCTGGAAAGCAAATTGATATTTGGAAAGTGTTGTATTTTTGTTGTAATTTCTTTGATTCAAAAGAGAAAATTACTTTGTAAAGATTTTTACCTAGTAATAGTATTGTCATCGAACATGCACATTATTAAAATAGTATGACTTTTTTGTTTATGTCGGGTTTCTAGATCACCCACTGTAAATGGCTAGCAAAATGACAGGATTCGAAGGTATGCTTTAGACACCACCAAATTTACAAAGCTAGAAATTTTACAATGCAAGAAAAGATCTTACTTATTTCAAATACTTTGATATGCCATTAAAACTATTAGAATTTTTTGGCAAATGTGTGGCTGTTGTGCTAAATCACAAATCCTAACATGTGAGATCTTCCTAGAGATATTAGTGGGAGCTATTGAATAGCAATAACTACGCAAAGACTGATATAGTCAATGGATATATATACTAATGGTGTACGGATCTTAGCCTTGGTGGAAAATAAAAACTTTGTTCAAATAGTGCTCTACTTTATTGGGAAATTTACATACATGTCACACAATTCTTATGTATTTACATATCTAATATCCAATGTTTGATATTTACATTATAACAGATTGAGGTTATAAACCTATGCAGAAAAAGATGTATTTCAGCCTTAAGAAGTCAGAGTGCTATTTTTGATGTTATGTTTAAGATTTGGATGGTATACATGTAAATAGAAAGGTTTAAGTGTTAGATATATAAAAATATAGAAATTATGTGGCATTTATGTAAATCCCCCTGCTTTATTTTGCTAATGCTCAGCCCTATTGTGTATTCATATTTAGCAGTATACTTTTGTCTTTTTTATGAAGTACTTTTACGTGTTCCATACTGACTCTTTCTCCATCATGTATGGATCTTAAACTGCAAAAACTTGAGCAGAAGATGCCGACTATACAGGCAAGTCTGTGAACTCTTGATTGTTCATAATGTTACTGAATCGTATCCATCCTAATCTCTGTGCATGCTGCAGCTATGGAAGGATTCTGAAAAAAAAGCTGAGATTATTGGCGGACACAAGGCATGGTTGGTGGTCAATGAAATTCGTCAGATGATAGATGATGAGAATCTGTCTGTCCTTTGACCATGCTAAAATTGGAGATAAGCTTTTCTTCTTATTGAGCAAATTATAGTCCAAGCTTAGCACACATAAATCCAATTTTATGATTAGGAGGGTATAAACTGCTTGCACGGTATAGAGTTTGCTGGACACTAATGAAATAAAATTTAAATTAAATTGTCGTATATTATTTGTTGGTCATCACAATTTTCTATTGTTACGCATCGGGTCCGAAAGAAGATACACCCCGACAACGCAAGACATTGTGGAATGAATTGAATCGTTTCTGTATTTTCAAAAGAAAAAAAAAAGCAAATATTAAATGGAATAGAGTGAAATATAAATTTTATTCCATAATTAAAGAAAATAAAAAATTGACTGAATCAAAATTAAAATGACAACAAGTAACTACTTAGAACCAAAAAGGAACATGCAATAGCTAAACTAAATACTGAGAAAAATACCAAAAAATGAAATTCAAAACTGCCAAATATGCTCCGGTGCAGAACATCCTGCTGGTGGCGGAATAAAACTTGTTATGCAAAATATCAAAAGTGAGTTTGACAAACAAATTGTATATAACAATTATTTATTAAAGCACAAATACAAGGAAAATGAGAAATAGTATGAACAATAATAAGGTTGATTACTACGATCATAAATAATATCTTAGAAAGCAAGATTGTTGTAAACGTTTAACATGCTTATTCTAAATAAACATGCAATCATTTTGAATCAAATTTTTTATTTTTTTGGTTTTTTATTATAATAAGTTTTAACAGACACCGTGAAACTGAGAATGCCAATATTAACTCAAGGAAATCCAATGATTTTTTTCTAGAGTCGTCACTGTATTTGCTCGTCGGCCTGACTAACTAGTATTCCAATGGGTTCTACTGTCTATATACTATCATACATGAGCATGTTAAAATTTTCACATGTATAATATGTAAATAATATGATATTTCACACAGACTTATAATATGACAGATGCAAATTCATATAAATACAGAATAAGAAAATATCATAATTACAAGATTAACTCAATTATACAATAAATTTTCAAGCAATAAATTAAGATAAGTGGTTACTTAATTATAAGCAATAAATGAAACCTATATATAAAAAAATGAGATGAAGTCTCACAAACATGTAAAATGGTTATGAATATACTGTAACTAACAAGAATTAACACTCCTAACTATGAAGAGTACGTTTATCTTCTAATAAAAGTAGCTAGTTACCTTGATGCTATAAACTCAATACTTTTAAGTATTCCGACGATTCAACTAGCGTTGAGTGGCGATCTTACACACGACTGAGTCCTAAAAATTAATTATACATATAAATTTAAAATAATGATTAAAAGAAATAACAAATCATAATTTTATTTAATCTAAATTTTCTTAATAATAATAGTTAAATGTGTGTGTGTTATTTCTCCTTTTTCACGTAACTATTTTCTATTCATTGCTGAAGTTAAATTTTTAGTGTATTCTTCAATAAACCAATGAACAAAAGAAATAACTGGGTTTTCCTGATTATTTCGGTTGTTTAGACCATCAAAAAATAGTTTGAAAATAATTTTCTTTTCATTTTTTTGTGGTAAATTTATGGTACCATTGTCTAAATTTTTTTATATTTTAGTTTTTTAAAATCTCTAATTAAGATTTATTTATTTATACTTATTCCTAACTAAAGTTCATTTCAGAAGAAGCGGGAGGATAATTTTCTCTCACATGATGTAATATCTGATTGCTGTTCATTTGATAATATTTAGATTTTTCATCAGACTTTCTAATGAATGTTCTTCCATTGAAGAAATAGGGGGTAAACTAATTCCTGAAAGAGTCATAAATCTTCTAAGATTAAATCTTACTACAACTTCTTCTTCAGATGGTTGAATTTTTTTGGTCAATAGCTTGATTAAGTATCAAATTTGGAGGGACTGCTATAGTTAATGACTATTATTCTGGGAATGAACTTTTATTTAATCTAATTGTTCTATTTGTAGTAATATTTAATACTAACAAATTAATTTTAATTATTGTTGTTTTTTTAGTAGTTGAATATTTTTCATAACTCTAGGACATAAGGTGTTCATTATCTTAAAATGACTGTAAATGAGAGCTATTTTCTCTGATCCAGTGTATAACTGGATTTGAAGTTTAATTTTTTCAAATAGATTTAAATCTGTTAAAGAGAGACAGAAATTTGGAAACATATTAAAATAAATTGAGCTGTGACATAAATTAGTTTCAATAACTTTCATGAGAGAATTTACCACAAAAAATAGATGCATTTAATTCTTTTAACATTAAAGGTTTGAATGCAATTTGAACTAAACCAGTATGATTATATTTATATTCTTGTAAATAATTTTTTTGCATATTTTTATGATTTATTAGATTTATTATTTTTTCATTTTCATCTATAGAGATTAATTGTCCAACTGATTAGATTTTTTCTTTGAAATCAAATGTGCCTATTTTATATATCAAAGTTTTTATCAATTTTGAGAATTGTTCAATTATTCAAATTCTTTTCATTAAATGGATATTCTTATATTGGCTATGAGTCGTTAATCATTTGAGACTGTGAGAGACTTACTCTCTGCTATGTGATTTAGCAAGAGCTTAGAAAGCGTCGAGATGTTTCCTATGAAGTAAACCATCCTTTGATAGCCCTGTGCTAGTTATCACTCATTTGCAACCAGAACTCCTTGGATCAAAAGTATATTTGGGCAACCCTCAAGATAATTAACCAAGTGAGATACGTCTCCTTGGGAGCACTATGGACCCCAGAACAGACAAACACACCTGAATATCTGGTTGTGGGTAGCTTTCTTAGGCATTCTTTCGCAGATATTTGGCGCAAGCTGTTTCGATCCGATTTTATTTGAACATGCATGCTTGACTTATTATCGCGAGGTTTGCCGCACGAAAGTTCTCCGCATTCTTTCTCTTGTTTGTCTGCCTTTGTCGTACATGTTTTTCCAGTTTCTCACTTTCTTGATCATTCATATGATATGAAAGAGAGATTTATTCATAAAAAGAAAGTATATGACAATGGGCAAACTGGCGACTCCTTCAAAACAAAAAGAGAAAAAAAACAAAAACATAACCAAAATGAAATGTAAAGGAAGAGTAGATAGTTAATCATCATCGAAAACATTTACGCTCTAAGCTAAGCAAAACTTTCACATCTTTAATCTTACTTCCTCTCCTCAAGGGAGAAATAGAGAATTACTTATTACTCATGCTTGAACACACCAAAAATCTCATTTGATTGAAAGAGAAATTAAACTACAGAAGTCTTGAAAGTAGAATATTACAATCTACAAAGTAAACACAACCAACGAGACTAAGAAGTAACCATGCATCTAAATCATCCCTCTAGCTCTCATTGTGGAGGAGTAATTTAACTATTGGGTTACAGTGATTCATCCTCTGCTCAATAACCTAGCATTGCTCAAGCAACGGGAGCACCTCGCCAGAGATTGATGGTCGACAGTCAGACTAGAACAATTAGTTAACGAAGCCAAGTTAATCGAGCCAGCCTTGTCGACCTGGAGCATCAAAGTCCAACCGGTAACCCTGATTCAACATAGTCGAGCAAGCAGGCATGCAGAACCAAGGTCCACTGAGTTGAGTCGATTGAGTCAGAGGGTAGCCGAGCCATAAGCCTATACATGTAAAGTACCTAAAATATTTTGTAACACCTCAATTAAAGCAGAGGTAAACATACAACTTTTTATATTTTACCTCCTTATATACAAATAGGAGATCATTCTACGAGAAAAAATGACTAATGAAAAGTATGTTACATGGTAATTGTTGCTCACTTCTCTCCTCCTGCTCTTTATTATGTTCTAACCAATGAGATGTAATTTATATATGTGTATATGTGTGTTTGTTTGTGTGTGTGTGTGGTGATCTCACAGGAATCCTATGATCAACAGAAGGAAGTATGATAAAAGGAGATCCTATGCAAGAAAGTTGCGTGGCTCGTTGAGACGATCAAGCTAAAGGGTGACCGGAGGGTGAATGATCAATATTGATCGACTAATCCGAGAATTTATCAGAATGTTTGAACCTTTAATATTCAACCCAAAATAGCAGATGCCGATCCGATACAAAATTTATTCGTCACGTAGGTCAACCTGAAGCAAGATTTAGCGTCAAAACTATCTTTAGAAGGAATCACCCCACACAAAAATCAATTACTTTGCTAGAAACAAATCTTTTAAGGATGTTTGATTGAGCTAAGCCGACCGAGTAAATTCGATCGAGACAAAAGGCGACTAGAGGATGATTAATTATTCAAATGGGAGAACATTTATTACAAATGGGTTAGAATCTTGTTAGTGTTTATCGGGCATTGTAGAGTCGATGACCCAATATTGAGTATACTTTCCTATCATTATATATCGTTTTATTCTTCTCACTTGTTCTATTTTTTTGGGTTTGACGGTTTATATATATATATATATATATATATAAAATAAAGAAAATCGATACTTGGTCTTGTGGGCACCAAATATCAATTATTCATATGGGTTGAAAACCTGATGTGCTTAATTCTGATTTGAAGAACCCACGTCACGGGAATCGAACCCCCTACTTGAGGGAATTATTGTCAGTGATATTTTGTTTTTCCATGTTAATGTGATATATATATATATATATATATATATCGCGCATGTTTTCTCGTGTTCGACGTTGAGCCTTGAAGTATAATTGATTACGGGGTTAGCATGCCACACCAACTCGGCACTGATTAACATTTATCATTCCCCCCCACCCCCACCCCACCCACCCATAATTACGTCATTGATTACATCAGCATTAATACGGCGGTGGGTCAGAAGCTATTTTTTCCTAGAACGTCGTCAAGAATTAGTTTAATAGCTATTTACAGTAGCGCTCGCTACTTCAAGAATTTTAATTACGAAAGAATTCATTAATTTATTCAAAGTCAAACGTTAAACTAAGTCAACGAAAATACGCAATTCGACACAGGTGGGGAAAGCTTATTGCCTTTCACACGCCTACTGGTGAAATGAGAATGCACTGTTTACAATTCGAAACGAACGGCACAAACCATTTTTTGCACATCAGAAGGTAAGATTATGGGATATAGAAAAGAAAATTAGAATGAAATAATGCGAATATTCAATCAAACTTA